GTTATTGAGAGCATCGTTACAGTCCATTCATGTGGTGACACTAAACTGTGTAATACTTACCCAAGCAGAGAGTGAGGTAACGACATGCAAATATTTTGATAGGCCTTCATGTTGACTCAACTGTTAAGTACAAAGTTCAGTAATCAACAAAATGCTGACTTTTTGAATTATATGGAAAACCAAAAAAACATAACCTGTAGATAAAGGTGTAACTACAACATCACAATGACAACTGGAAATATTGTTACAGTGTACAACACAACTAATATCGGTCTTTTGATGATGTGTTTAAATTGTGGAAGACAAAAGAGATGTAAAAAGATAAAAGACTTAACGCAGTAATTTCCAGTCAAATAGCACTGTGAGACCTGAATGTGCATTAATGCTCTGTAACATGTTTGCAAGACTATCATTTGATATGACTGGAGGGTGTTGATGACTAATGTGACTTAAAATCCCCCTCCAGAGATTTGACTGCAAGTCGACTCCTTGATCTCAATGAAGAAGTTGTTTGTTCCACAGATGACCATTTACTAGTCATTGGTTCTGACCAAGAATAAATCATTTTCTGTTACTTCTGCCAGGATGCTTGTTTTCCTTTTTTTTCCAGCAGGTGATCTAGCAGATTTTTAGTGTCTTTCCTCACGGTCCCTCTTCTTTTTTTCAACTTCTCTTGTCTACATCTTTCACTTTCCTATCCCTCGGTCATGTCTCTTCCAATTGTAATAACTTAAAAGTAAAAAATAAATTAGTAATAAAGTTCAATAAAGTGGAGCAGTATGGCAAAACCGTAATGATCCACTCGGGAAAACAAAGTCAAATAGTAATATTAAACACGAAAATCAAATCAAATCAAATCAAATCAAATCACTTTTTATTGTCACATCACATGTGCAGGCACACTGGCACAGCACATGCGAGTGAAATTCTTGTGTGCGAGCCCCACAAGCAACAGAGATGTGCAAACACAACAACACAAACGAGCAAAATACAAGAATGGCCAACCTGAAACTAATAAATATATGTACAATATATAATAGTGTATGCATTTCTGGATGTGTATACTAAATATTTTCCTACGTGTGTGTGTGTGTGTGTGTGTGTGTGTATACACAAAGTGCATTATATAAACATTGTCAAAACATTTCAAGGTGTCCAAAGGTGATAAGTGGTGGGAGTAAACTCTGTAATGTAATGTGATTGGATAGTGTCCATGCTGAATATGGTATTTAAAGTAAATAGTAATGATAAGCTTTGCCTTGCCTGAGAGTTGACTCTTTTTTGATTACGTGAACAAATTCAGGGTAAGAATTAACATTTTTATTTCAGTCATCTTACATTTTTCAACAATTCACTGTATTAAGGAACTTTTTGACAGATTTGCACTTGACTGTGCATGTATTCAGTTTTTGTACTCCAGTACCTGCACATTTGGAAAAACCTAAATTACCTAACCTAAATCTTTTTTTATCTTCTTTGTATCAACCAGAATTATGAGCTTCAGTAGAGCATCTCTTTTGCTCCTCTTTGTGCAGATGTCCTCAGTCTTCACTTACCGTAAGTACGATGTACAAATACCAGCACATTAGGATCAATTATAAAAGATCACTAGATGCAGTAGTATTATTTTTAACTGTAAAACAAATGTGAATGTACATAAAAATGGCATGCTGATCCAATCATAGTAGAATTAAAAAAATAAAAGTGGACATCCTAACTGTATAAAAAAAAGATCACCAAAGTTAATGACATGTACTGATTGTGCAAATTTCATGGCGTTCCATCCAATACGTGTTAAGTCAAATCTGTAAAAAAACAACAACAAAATATTAACCTCTTGAAGATGATGCCCAAAAGCTAAGCAATAACCAAAATGAACTGATCGAGAAAGTCATGTGTGTTGTTACTACTTGGAACCCTAAAGGCTCAACTTTCATGTCAAGCTAATGATCGTAGATTGAACACACAGGTTTTTGGATGATATCAATTCCTCCTAAGGAAAAACAAAGCTGATGAAAATATGTTTATATCTTTTACAGAAAATGTGGCTTTACGTGGAAAAGCCACGCAGTCACGTCTAATCAACCCGGGAGAGTGGGATGGATTTGCAGCAGCGGGTAATGCTATCGATGGAAACCGTAAATCTCGCTTTAATTATGGATCATGCAGTCACACTGCAACAGAGGCAAACCCCTGGTGGAGAGTAGACTTGCTGGAGTCCTATATAATCACCTCCATGATCATCACCAATCGAGAAGACTGTTGCGAAGAAAGGATCAATGGAGCAGAGATTCATATTGGCAACAAGTTACAAGACAATGGCGCTGCAAACCCACGGTGAGTCACTGATAATTTCCAGTGTACTCAGTATTTATCTGAAACTTTTCTGTATAATAGAAAGACTTGAGACTACAGGCTTCTTCCTCTCTTTTAGGGTTGCTATAATTTCTTCAATTCCTGCAGGGAGCTCACACACCATAACTTTCAGTAATCGTGTGGAGGGACGTTATGTCACTGTGCTTTTACCAGGTTCAAACAGAATTCTTACACTCTGTGAAGTGGAGGTTTATGGGTATCATGCCCCAACTGGTAAGAAATTAAACAACACCCTTTTCTTTCTCACCATACTTTTTTTGTATGTCTCTACCAGCTTTGCACATCTAGAGACTGAAATTCTTGCCCATTCTTCTTCAGCAGTTTTCAGATCTTTCCACAGATTCTCGATTGGATTTAGATCTGGACTTTGACTGGGCCATTCTAACACATGAATGTTTTGTTTTAAACCACTCCATTGTTGCCCTGGCTTTATGTTTTGGGTCGTTGTCCTGCTGGAAGGTGAACCTCCGCCCCAGTCTCAAGTCTTTTGCAGACTCCAAGAGGTTTTCTTCCAAGATTGCCCTGTATTTGGCTCCATCCATCTTCTCATCAACTCTGACCAGCTTCCCTGTCCCTGCTGAAGAGAAGCACCCCCAGAACTTTGTGCAGTGCACGACTAATAGTTGTTCTATGGACAGATTCCCCCACCTGAGCTGTAGATCTCTGCAGCTCGTCTACAGTCACCATGGGCCTCTTGGCTGCATTTCTGATCAGCGCTCTCCTTGTTCGGCCTGTGAGTTTAGGTGGATGGCCTTGTCTTGGTAGGTTTACAGTTGTGCCATACTCCTTCCATTTCTGAATGATTGCTTGAACAGTGCTCCGTGGGATGTTCAAGGCTTGGGAAATCTTTTTGTAGCCTAAGCCTGCTTTAAATTTCTCAATAACTTTATCCCTGACCTGTCTGGTGTGTTCTTTGGACTTCATGGTGTTGTTGCTCCCAATATTCTCTTAGACAACCTCTGAGGCCGTCACAGAGCAGCTGTATTTGTACTGACATTAGATTACACACAGGTGCACTCTATTTAGTCATTAGCACTCATCAGGCAAAGTCTATGGGCAGCAAAATGTGGGAAAGTTCAAGGGGGCCGAGTACTTTTGCAAGCCACTATAGTCACTGCTGAACTGTACTCTGGAAAACTGAGGAAGCGAGCAGCTCTCTTCCAGGAAGATGCCAAAAAGTGTAACCATTAAACTGTTGAGAAAAAATTTAAAAAACAAGTACGGCACAGTTTTTAAAATTTCAGTTGGCTCCACAAACCCCCCCCAAAAAAAAACAAAAGTTGTGAGAGCTTGTTTAAAGGTCTCTGCGTTGATCATCTCATCCATTCAAGTAAACTGTCTTGATGTGTCTGTGATGAGAACATAAATCCCTCAACCTTATTTTGCAGGAGAGAACCTTGCACTCCAAGGAAAAGCCACACAGTCATCAGTGCAGACCTTAGGGCTTGCATATAACGCCATAGATGGAAATCGTAACAGCGACCCAGAAAAAGGATCCTGCACTCAGACAAACTATGACAACATCCCCTGGTGGCGACTTGACCTGCGCAAAACACACAAAGTGTTTTCTGTTAAGATAGTCAACTCTGATTCTGACCCAGAACGACTCAACAGGGCTGAGATTCGCATTGGAGACTCTCTTGACAACAATGGAAACAGCAATCCCAGGTACTTTACAGAATAAAAACTGAAAGCATTATAATTTAGCATAATTTAAAGCATTATCAAATTGGACCTCAGTTGGGATTTTTGTCTTTTACAGTCTTGATGGCAGCAGCAGTACATTAATCAATACACTCTGTGACTCCAACCATTAAGCAAAAACATTAATAGATTAAACTTGCCAGCTTTCTCCTTCATGGTCAGCTCCTTGTGCAGCTCTAAGTGAAATCTGAAGAACCCAGCGTTATTCAAAACCATTACATCAGAGACATGGTGAAAGTATCCAGGTTAATCAAGTGATTTCTGCTTCCTTTGCCAGGTGTGCTGTGATCACAAGTATCCCTGCAGGCGGCATTCAAGAGTTCCAATGCAACGGGATGGATGGCCGCTACGTTAACGTTGTCATCCCAGGAAGAGAGGAATATCTGAGTCTGTGCGAAGTGGAGGTTTATGGTTCTGTCCTGGATTAGGTGGAAAAATTATTTCACTTACGGAATTTTAACAAATCAAAAGAAATCCATCACTCTATGACAACTGGGGTAGGCCATCATAGGCAGGGGACACAGTGCCAATTTATCAGAATAGAATCAGAAGGCTAATAAAGAGAGACCTGTATTCCAATCTGAGCATCACACACTGACTTTGTGTAAACAACAGCTAAAGAACAGTTAGCTAAAGGCAGTTACTCACGAGACATTCAGCCTCACCATTACAACCAAACAAGTGTTGTGATCAGGTCAGTGGGCGAGTTTCTCCCAATGCTGTCAGGACATATTTGATGCGACTATTGAATGTCTACAAAGGCAGTGCAGAGCGCAAAGAAAGCATGACGAATACAGCCAACAAAAAAATAAATGGAAAATACACCAGATTCAAATAAATCAATAAACAATCTTTTTAAAAATTCAAATAAATGCTTGATTTGTGCTTTTCACATCTACATTTAAGACAAAGCAATGGTGCTCACTCCAAATATTTTATTTTTTAAATACAGAAAATATAGACAAATAGAAAAAACATCAGAAACACAACGAGGCCAGAGAGTGGAATAAAGTGATTTTGTCAAAGTGTCTGGGAAAGTGTGACAATGGCACAGTTGCTTAAAACCGGGCACTTGCAAGCTCGCTTGTACACCATTAAAATCTTCAGACATTAATTCGCCACATTTATTCACATCACAGAAACGACTTTTTCCCAACCGTGAAGATAACAGTTTTCAACAAAAAAAATCTTATCTTATTCCTGATTCCAAAGTCAGGTAAATTATTCACCCCAAGACACATCTTTAATCTGTCAAGAAAACAAACAAAATCAGCTTTTTTTATATAAACTAAAACAATCATTGATACATTTTTATAAATGACTGGAGGAAATATCTTATGAAGAAAAGTGGCAATAGAAAAAACACCTGAGTGGTGACGGTTGAGTTACTCCTGTTGGTGAAGGTGGTTCACTCCTCTCACAGGAGTAGTTTTACATTTTTAAAAGAGCCACACTCACCACATGTCTGTATACCAAATATTAAGCTATAGCCAACAAGTTTGTGTCTCACCTTAGCACAAGGACTGGGAGGAAAAACAAGCAAACAAACGAAACTTGAACATGGAATTGTGATTTTGTAGGAAAACATTTTCATCACACCACCTAAGAGCAGCACAGTGCGATAAACAGCTGTTTCTGCAGGTCGTGCACCACGGCGAGTTGTGGTGCTGCAGGGTGTAAAACACAAGTGTACGAAAGTGTATTGTGCCGGTTTTTATTGTCATTTTAATATTAATTACACATCAGTAAAGAAGCTCAGAGATTCATAGATTATACAGAGGGATACAAGTCTGAAAAGATTAAAAAACTCCTTTACCAGAAGTCATGGCACTTATGAATCTTAACAGGCATAAAACTGACTTCAAGGGTTTATTGAATCTGATTATTATTAAGACAAATAAACCAACCAAATCTCTGAAATAGGGAAAACTGCAGCATTACAGGCAAATCCATGTTTACCCAAATTAAAATATTTCAACTTTGATGAGAAATTTGCTTTGCAATGTAAAAATCCCACGAGAATGGTCTCTGAGGTTCGTTCCTGACACCACAGACAATCAGAAATGCAGGACAAGCTTCACTGTTTGTAGGCGGCTGAAGCTGAACGGTTAAACTCTGTACAGATGTATTTTGAGGGAATGAGCAAAATCTTAGTTCTTTATTGTAAATTGTGAAAATATTAATGTAACTTGAGCCATCAGCTGTTGATCAAGCCATCGACTTTTAGACGTGAAGATTCAGGTTTATTTAAACAAGTAATTCATGGCCTAGGTGGTTTTTAGAAAGCTGACCTTGAGTTCGAAGTCACTGGGATTCAAACTCGTCTGAGATTTTTAGCAGACAGACCTACAATATGAATTGAGTGTCATGTTCCCAAGATTCACCTCTGAGCTTGACTTTGAGACCAAGGTCACCAAACTTCTTCCCTAAAAGGGATTCAGAGTTTTCATTTCAGATTTTTAATAAATGCACCTATGCCATCAATTTGAAAATCAATTGGACTTCCATCTGGAGTCATCCTGTTACAAGATTTTCAGAAAACCTGACCTCTGACCTTGACGACGAGGTCGCCCGCAGTTGTTAGTAGACGCACTTATGGTATCAATTTCAAAATCCTACGTCACCTCGTTTTCAAGTTATCACACTATGACCTGTTATGTTTTTTTCCTATAACTCTCTAAAGGAGCCAGTTAAGCTCTTTTCCCCATTTTCCAGTCCTTTTGCCAAAATAAGCCAAGCTGATCCGCTTCTGGCTATAGCTACATATTTATTAAACAGACATGACAGGGGCATTGTTATTCTCAAGTAATGGCATAAATCAAATGAGGCATGTTTTTAATGTGGTCCGACAAAGGAACCGGCGACTGCTACCATTACCATAAAATTTACTGCTACGAATAACTGATTGGCTGTCACATAAAAATGAATTTTTCATATGCTACAGTACCCTGAATATGCAGCTTTGATAATAAAACTTCCTTTGGCAACAAACAATAATCCAAGAAGCACAAAGAACATTTTAAAGGCCATCAGCAGTTTACAAAACAACGTAGTCAGTATTTACAAAAAAATCAAAGAAATCGATGTTTTCGTTACCTTCTCGGACATAAAAATTATACAATAAACTAACTATTACTGAAGCAACAACAAAAGCTCTGCTCCCAATTAAGCTAAAATGTTTTTTGAGTGAATTCAGTTCACATAGACATCAATGTTATGTACATTTTAAAACACAAGAACATTATTTTCTTCCTAGACTCCCAAAAGCCTCAAAACACTGTTTGCTTGAAAATAAAATGTTTCAACACTTTTAAAGTTGCATAAAAACGGTGACACCAATAAATTATAAAAATAGTGTACTACTGAAAAATCGTTTCATACATCAACACTGTGCATAACAATAGAAGAAGTCAGCTTTTGCCAGGTTTGCAGAGGGTATTGCTTCACAGTATGTGGACATCACTGATTGGTCTTGCCAGACAAAAGTTTACTTCTGAAGTGAAAGTCAAAATCGGGTCTACACAGTAAGAAAAACACTATACAAATGTAAGTAGAGCATCCCTTAAAATAAGGAATATATGTAACAAGACCAATGCCAGGAAGCTAAATGGAGAGCTACAACCACCACCGCCTGGCTTTCATATAATGAACATCACTAGTGACAACAACGCAGCAATAGCTAGTCTGGAAAGAGACTTTGAGTTAAAAATACTGAGAGCTGTGATGCCACCAAGAGGTTTTAGACTCATGGCATACTTGTTTGTTATGTCCAACCTGTTTTTGAGCCACCGTTTGGTGAATCAGAATAACAAAAGAAATGTGGAACCGGGGTTTTCGGGAAGTAAAAAGCAGCAACGGCAGTGAGTGACCAAAAAATGCACGACAAAGAAGTGACGCAAAGAACAGTTTGGTGTTGAGCCAGTGTGTCCAGCGATGTTATCTGAGATCTTTGGTGGCTTTGGGGACTTTGAGAACTTTGTAAATGTCATTGGAAAAGACTGTGGTAAAGTGGGGTCGAGAGTTCCTGGAAATATGGGTGCAGAGGGGGGTTTTACCAACATTTTGGGGGTCCTCAATATCCCAGATCTCTGGCATGCTGCACCCAGGTCTGATGGAGAGGAAGAATGAGAAAGATAAAAAAGAATTAAATAAGATAAAAGGCAATGTTAAAGGTTTCAGGGATACCATTTTGCTGACCCACATCCACCCATCTACATTAAAGGGACGGCTGTGGAGCGTGTGAGCAGCTTCAAGTTCCTGGGAGTCCACATCTCCGAGGATCTCATCTGGACGACCAACTGCTCCAAGCTGGACAAGAAGGCTCACCAGCGCCTCTTCTTCCTGAGGACTCGGAGGAAGAACCACCTGTCCTCAGACATCCTGGTGAACCTCTATCGCTGCACCATCGAGAGCATCCTGACCACCTGTATAACAGTCTGGTACGGGAACTGCTCTGCTTTGGGCCGGAAGGCGTTGCAGAGGGTCGTGAAAACTGCCCAGCGCATCACCGGAGCACCATAAATGACATCTACAGGAAGCGGTGTCTGAAAAGGGCTGGGAAAATCATCAAAGACTCCAGTCACTCAGCACATGGACTCTTCACCCTACTGCCCTCTGGGAGGTGGTACAGCCTCCGGACTAAGACCACCAGGTACCGGAACAGCTTCTTCCCCACAGCTGTCAGACTCCTGAACTCACATTAAACTCACGGACTGAACATACACACACCCACAACCACCTACACACACACACAATGGACAAAAACAAACAAATGGACAACTGTACCCTCATACACACAATAATAACATGGACTGAACCAACACTCACAACCACTAGCACTTTATACAGCCTCTGTAGAAATTATCCACATATTTCACTTATCTTAACTGCACTACTGTATAATTCTGTATAAACAATCATTCTGTACAATACAATAATTATAGTTCTACAACTGTTTACAACTGTTTATAACTTGCATAGTTCATATTTCTGTATAGTTTCCATATTTATATCCTGTTCATAGCCTATACATACTTATAGTTATTGCATATTCATAACATACCTTCATACCGTGTACATTGTAACATACCTATAACAGACCCATTTCTGTAATATATCTATATTATTGCTAATATATATTTGAAATATATCTATATCATGGCTAAAGCACTTCTGGATGGATGCAAACTGCATTTCGTTGCCTTGTACTTGTGACATGTGCAATGACAAAGTTGAATTCGATTCCATTTTGTTTGTCTTTTTAATTAATCCCTTTTTGAAAATATTCTTCAAATTTTTATTGTGTTGTGTTAACAGTGGTCAAAACAGATTTAACAGCAAACTTAATGGTTGCACTGTTTGCCTAAAAGGAGTAAAAGTTGTCCAGCAGGGTAGTGGTCCCCAAACTCTTTTGCGCCACGGACCGGTTTAATGTCAGACAATATTTTTACGGACTGGCCTTTAAGGTATCGCGGATAAATACAACAAAATAAAATGATACAACCAACACAAAAACTGGCATTTTGTAAATATAATAATAAACACAAATTGACTGTTTAATCGTGCAACTTCATTAGCAGCGTGGACTGCTGCAGTAGGGGGGTCGACTTAAGCTTGTCTACTGTGCACACGACAGTGAAAGGAGCAGCGGTGCTGTTGCAGTACCTGGTTCGCCTGGTGCACCACGAATCCTCAAGGATGAAAAACTCTACTCCCAGCTTCATGAGGTTCCTCTTAACGGTTTCTCCAGACATGCGGCTGTACATGGAGTAGACCAGCTTGGTTCTCTCTCTGTGAGAATCAACAATGTTATAAAGTGTGATAAAGCAGTGGGATGAGAACAAAAAGGTAATAAAGGACCTGTATTTTTGATGTGGGGAAAAATTGACCCAACATTTTTGCTTCCAGAATTAAGTTAATGAAGTGAAAAGTAGCACAATCATCATTTGAAGAATGGTCATTTTAAATCTTTTATAGCTAATTTAATGCTAGATTGGAGATTGAAGAAGAGCTGTAGATTCCTCTGACCTCAGCCCAGCATCTTCGTAGTGAGGGTGGTTGACAATAGGCCGACCAGTGGAAAGCTTTACGCTGGCCATGGTGGGCATCGCTCCAGCAAACACAGCATCTGCAATCAAAGCAAAAACCAAATAAAAAGAAAACAAACCAAAAGCAGAGCATCAAACAGGAAAGTTTTCATTCATTAGATTATATACAGTACTTCATAATTTATAACAATAGAATATACCGTAATTGTCGGGCTATAAGCCGCTACTTTTTGCACAAGCTTTGAACCCTGCGGCTTTTAGTCAGGTGCGGCTTTTCTATGGATTGTCCGTGATTTTTGTGATATCGTAAGACGATTTGTTTTGTTTGTTCCGCTGTTGTACGGCACTACGTTGCCTGGCGGAAGGATCGGGGTTCAAGAGTGGTATGTTAGTCACATGTCCGTCCGCCAGGCAACGTAGTGCCGTACGAAGTAGCGCGAAAAACAAACTTCAAAGTAGCGCTACGCGTTCAGCGGGAGGCGTGGATGATGAGCAGCGATAAACTTGCGAAAAGCAAGTTATGCCCAACTCCACCGGTGGAATCTGACAGCGTGGAAAAGTGTGAAAACATCCACGATCACCACCGGATTTTGAAGGGCTGGACTGCTGCATGATGGAGAGGAGGACTCCGACACTGACAATGAGGATTTCTTTGGTTTTGAAAGTGACAACAAAGGAGAGAAGCGGAGAGTGGATGACGAAGCCATCCTGAGCCTGTTTGTATCCGACACTGGAGGAGAGGACTTTGGTGGTTTTAGTGCGCAGGAAGAAGAGAAAGATGGTGGTGAATGACTGACTTTTCTTCTTGTTAAAGCCGTGTCACTGCACCTGAGCCTAAAAGGTAGTCCGAATCTATTTTTCTGGTGTGCTGTAGGTTACTGTTATGTACTACATGTGCAAATATGTACCCATAACTTGTTTTTCAAAATATTAATAAAAGGGGTGTGTCTCCAAACAGCCATCTCTTTCCTGACAATTCCCTTTGTGCATATTCTCTTACATATGATAAGTCAACATTGAAACACCTGCGGCTTTTAGTCAGGTGCGGCTAATGTATGTACAAAACAGGATTTTCCCCTGATTTTAGCTTGTGCGGCTAATATTCAGGTGCGCTCTGTAGTCCGGGAAATACGGTACTTTAAAATTTTATGCTGCAATCAGGGCGAGCTGCTTATTAATCTTAATACTTGTTTAATACTATTGTTTGCTCGGTAGCGATGAAATCAGGCAAGGTCACTCACTAGGACGGGTGTTTTCCTGGATCCAGTCCAGCAGCTCCTCCTGGGGCAGGTTGCTGAACTCTCCAATGATCGCCCACTGGGCCTGCAGATTGGTCATTCCCTGTATGGCCATGATGGCCAATACAGCAAAAACCACAGTGTGCTGCTTAAACTTCTCCCCAATCCAGCCAAAGAGCTGAAGGGACAGAACATACTCATTATATTTAAGTAAAGAGGAGACTTTGTAAGTAAAACAATATTGAAAGCAGTTTTTTTGTTTTGCTTTTGTGCATCACTGAGAGACAGACCTGTCTGGAGCAGATCAATGACGCCATGATGCACATGTGTGGCGTCAGGAAGAGCTTCAGGCGCATAATGAGGATGGCCAGGACAGCAAAAGCCACCAGCTGCAGACTGTGGTACACCATCTACAGAGAAACAGGTTCACACACAGATCGAATCAAAACGGACACACAGAAAATTAAACAAATCCACAATCATCTACCAGAAACTCTTCTGTAGCCGAGTGTTTCACAAAATCTGTTTGACTCATAAAACACAACTTGACTGACATTGCTATATAAATTCATATTTCATAGTATTTTTCATTGCTGCCTTAATGACTACTTATCACAAAGTGCTTTTCACACTGATTAAAGGGCAGAGTGTATATTTGAACATAGACCTGATTTTCTTTACTGTCAGGTTCTGCTAAAATATTTGATCAAGTTGTCAAATGATTGAAATTTAAATATATTGTAAGTAATTTAAGAAGCAAAAATTGAGCCATTGTGGCTCAAGAGGGACAGCTGGTTGTCTAGCAACCGCAGTTGTGCTGCTGGACAAGATGCTGAACCCCAGACTGCCCAAACTCATTGAATCGCACCACATGAAAGAGTGCAAGTGGCTTTCAGTAAGAAGCACTTTGACTCCTTAGAGTGGAAAAATTCTATATGTAGATACCAGTTCAAAAAGCTCAATGTTTCATCTGTGGATACAAGCCTACAGTGTGTCCACCTTTGAGGTGTAACAAATATATAGATGGTCTGTTTTTAAATGTATTGCTCAGACAAAAAAATAAATAAATGAATCACTGTAATAAAACACAGAGTCCGTTACGTTTAGAGATATCAATCAGTTCACTTAGGAAGCAGAATCTATTGTGAACCCATTTTACATCCTGAGGCGCAAATCAAAGTAAAAACAGGAGCACTGGAGAGACAACAGCAAAGCCGCCACAGAAAGAGAACGGCTTTTCAGGTGGTAACTACAGGCCATTACTCTCTCTCAGTATCTGTTACTATCCTTCTTACAGTTGGGAGCATAAAAGAGAACCTGCAGCCCAATCAGGTTGCAAAGGTAGTGTGCTATGTCTGCCAACATAGTCTCCAGAGTGTGGAGGAGATGGCCGTTACACGAGGAGAGCTAGTCAGGGCTTTGGAAGGGCATCAACCAAACAGTGGGACCGTATCAACTTTTTTGTGCTCTACATTATGACCTATATTAGGTTACGTGTGTGCATGTTTCTGACCAACGTTTGAAAAACAGACTTTATGAGGGTGGGGTGAGGTCGTGGGGTCTTTTTGTGAGATCTATGTTGATAAACCAGCATTTGCCTGATAAGACCAGAACTGGCAGGTATGCCAATGGCACAAATGACATTGGCATACCTGTCAAGGATGGCAAATGTTACGATGCCTGCAAAATCATCTTTGAACACAAAAATGTAACTATTAAAAAAAGTATTAACAAAACCACTATATTTTATTTGAATTTAAATTCAGTATTTAGTCTATAATGGTGTGTCTTAATGCTCGCCTTCCTGTTGCTCTCTGTTTTAAATGACAATTAGCCAACTGAGAACTCTGGATTCAATGCCACAGATGGAAAAGTCACAGATGACAGCTGTGCTGTTTACGGACATAAAGTGCAGACGCATTTCAGTAATGTTAGTGTCGCTCATTTGATGTAGGATTGGATTAAGCAATCAAATTTATTTGATCTAAATTTGTGATGCACATACTGCAAACTAAAAAAAACAAACAGTGGAAGTTGTCATTAACTACAATCAGAAACAGCACTGCGATCTGCTCCTTAGCTGTGATCTCTTCAGTACATTTTAACCTGTATTTTCCTGCGCAGTGAGAAAGTGTTCCTCTCTGAGCATTTATAGACCATCAGAGCCATTATATAGGCAAGCTTTAGAAACTGAACATCTGAACATTTTACTGCCCAGAGAGAGATATTACAGAAAATGACATGAAGCAGCTGGGAGAAAGCAGACAAAAGGCAGTAGAGTGGGATTTCATAGCAGAAGGGAAAAATGCCTTTGATTTCCTGGTAATGAGAAAAGGGATCAAAATCACTCTGGGGCATAGAAACTGAGCAGACTTCACTGCACGGGAGAATATAATCATATAAAACAGGTTTAGGAAAAGGGAACACGTGGAGGTGTGGTCAAGATAATTTTTATATCTGCATATATTTAACAAAAAAAATAAATGAAGTAAGTATTTTTCTCACCTCTCCTTTTGCAGCTATTTCAGACCTGCAACACAAAACAGAAATATGTGAAGCCAGCTGCCCACTCAAAACAAAAATCAAGCCATTATTTTACTTTTAAAGGTAAGACACTGCATTATTTTAGAGCATTTTATTTTCCCAGTTAAACACAGTTTCTGTTTGATCAACAGAATGCATCAAGTCCTTGAAATCACCCTAGAGAGGAAGCCTCACCCTGCAGCTTCGTCAGCGTCCTCAGTCTTGGCCAACGTCTTCCCCCCGTGCCTCAGGCACCGGACTATATCCTGGATGGTCTGAAAAAGACAAATACTTCGAAGGATATTTCTTCTCATGTTTAAATGCTCTGCATATCATGCTTTGTCAAACTGATTCATGTGTTCTTAGCTTAGCGTGGGCAGGGTATAATGAGATTAAATCATATAAATAGGACTTCCTCAAATATTTTTCCTCTGATGTTTCCCATCTACAAATGTTAGCGTGACCAGAATCGGGGGGAAATCTTTTCATCCTTCCCTTCCTTAAAGGCTTAAATATAAAAATGTATATCAGTTCCTGACAAGTCCAAATAAAACAACTGTAGTTTACTGAAACGGAAACAATAACACCTGAATTTAAAAAAGCTTCTTAGTCTACACAAGAGTGGAAGGAAATCTACGTGAACTAACAAGAGCAGACAGCAGCTTTGTCTTTCAGCTGCTGTGAAGCAGAAGCTCACGGCTCAATAAGTGATTTGATCTTTATGTCTGACTGCCTGCTGTTCTGAAAGGTGAGATCGTAGCTTTCATGCTGCAGACACTTTCTGACAGTCATGCTGCATAATTTCTTCTTCACAGAAGAGTTTGAGATTTTTAAAAAAAACAAAAGATTTCTTATACACATGACTGTTTGGGCTTTCTTGCTTTTTCTGCCAACATTTCCTCACCTCAAGCTTAAAAATATAAAGTATCTAAGCTCATGAGCCAGTATGTGTGATCTTCTCTGGAGTTTTTTCAGTGAAGGAACCTTTTCTCTCATATGAACCATGGTGTGGTGACGATGTTCACTTGTACCTTTAGTGTCAGTCTGACACCATGATATTTATATAGCCATAAACTGCATATTAATGCTGCTTTCATAAGATTTCTGCAAAATCATCCAGCCTTCCAGATATTCAACAGCTGAATGTGAGAATGTGGACTTATGAAGTCAAATGCTAGCTGTTTGAGCAATTTCGATGGTTCAATATGCAGGAATGTACTGTAAACTGTAGCATAGGCGATACAAGAACAAAAAGAGCGGTGACTAAGACAGATCTTGCTAATTTTCATCCATTTTCCCACAGACCAAGAGAAACCCATAACTGTTCTGAGCAAGGCTTCCCAATACACCTCACCTGATACCGTCTGCTGCTTTGAAAACAAATGTTTATCCTTTTCATAGGGATGGTTTTATGCCTACAAGAGGACTTACCCTGCCAGCAATGAGAGCAACCACCAGCACATTGATGGGCAGCAGCAACGTTTTAAGGTAACGCACAGGAGTCTGAGGCAGAGAAGAAGACAATTCAATTCAACTCAGTTTTATTTTTATAGAGCCAAATCACAACAACAGCCGCCTCAAGACCCTTTATATTGTTAGGTATATCCTACAATAATACTTTCAGAGACAGAGGACAACTATCACATCTGAGCATTGTAGTATATCTAAGCTGAAATAATTTCAAGGAGGAGGCTGGCAAGTGAGAGACTAATGCACAGCAAATTACTACTAAAATACAAACATGGTTATAAAAATAAATAACAGTTTGGGAAATTCTTAATTGAGCACTGCAATAATTAACTGCAAATGCTTAAAGGCCAAAATATTATGAATCATGATATGTTGCAATTCTATATATAATAAACAGATTACAATAAAAATGCAAAGTGCTAATTAAAGAAAGTGAATCTTAAAGCATTAAGAAAGTATATGACTGCACTGATTACAGCTGCTTCACTGCATTTTGCTTGAGCCAGCCTGTTCCAAAAGCATGCACCGTTTCCTCTGCAGTGCTGAGAAACCACACACAAAACCAGGCGACTGTCTAGCCCATAACTCAGCCCAAAATGAGCTGCCAGGTTTTGCTGTCAGATTTTGTTTCTTGTCAAATTCAGAGCACAGTTCTGGTTTCTTCCACACTCAGCCCTGCTGTAAGACAATCCAGCAGCTCTGATACAAAGGAGCAGGCCTTTAACAGCATTTCTGACATCTTCACAGCACTGACATTTTAAAAAGTGAGACCTGGCAAGAGTTTCCTCAAAAAACTGCCTGAGACTAGGATTTTATCAGGGAAGGCTTCAGCTCAGAATCACAGTGATCACTCGTCATCCTTTAGTGGCAGGGAGACAAATTTTTAGCTCTGACAAAGGAACAGAATTTACCTCCAACTCCATGAAGTCAAATTCAGCAGCACATGTATACATCAGAGTGTGAAAGTCCTTGTAGCTCGTGAACTTAGACTTGATTAATCCACTGATGTGAGCCTAGAAAACATACATTTTTGAATAAAACTTTAATCCACCCTGTGAAAAAATTATTCTTAAATTTTGCATATTTAATTCCGTTCTTAATAATTCAATTTGACATTTTCTGATAGTGAATATCAAACATGGCTCAAGTGCTCCATATGGCTAGTCCATTTACATTTATATTAACTGAGCTACTATATCAGCCCACTTATGAGGTCATTTTTGGTTCATCTACTTAATATCTACACAATGACCTAAAAATGTTCATTTCCATTATTAATGTTGAGTCAAGAAAAAGGGTTTGATTTTACAGACGGGGAGTTAGAGTTACTTACATCATCAGAGGCACCCAAGACTGTGGATAGCAGGAATTTAAGCAGAACTGTTGAGCCGACCCAAGCCAGGCCCTGCATGACCTGTACAGAAAAATAAAACCCACATCGACATTGGTGGATTGACATGTTCAAATACATACATAAGATTCAGACAGGCGATGTATGGTGGTGAAGAAGAAAGCAGTCAAACCATGAGGCTGACTAGACAACTACATAAACAAAAGCATGCTTACTCTTTGAGATGTTAGCTTCAAATATTTTAGCACAGCAGGGATACCCGACTGTCTGAGAACACTCTATTCTGTTAGATCAACATTATGTGATCTCTCTCTCTCTCTACACACTTGTTTTTGGGATATTCATGCAACCATTTTCTCGTTTTATTTTTTCTTCTCAAAAGTGTGTGAATGTTGTAAGAATGACACAATTACTGTAAAGTGGAAACATGTAGTTGTGCAGTAAAGCATAGATAATAAAACTCTTTAGTACCCAGATGACAATGCCTTGTCTGAAGACTTGAGCAAATCGCTCCCTCATTGCAATGATTACCTAAAAAATAAAACAACAAATCTTAAGTGAAAAGCAAGTGGAATAACTCCACTCCAAAAGAAAAAAATTCAATGCAGTTACTGTTACACATGTGTTACAACTGTGTACTCTTACAAATATGCTGAAATTTAAATCCACCTGCATCACTGATCGGAGTAAACAGGACTGACTTGAATCAATCAATGATTAAACATTCGTAATACAGGAGCCTCCAACTCACCCAGATTGACACTAGTGAAGAGGCGTAGAAGGATGTAAGGAGCATGGAGTTACCAAACATCAGGACAAAGCAGACGCCGAGTGTGATCTGCATAAAGAGGACAAAGAGAAAGCATCATTCCTCACATGAACGTGGTATTCAAACCACTGAGGGCCGTTTAGTGCAGCCCCGTCCTATTTGGTGCAGCATGATGTGCATGACCCGTGTGTGCAATTAAACAATGCTGAACATCCGAGCTTGGCAGGTAGTGCTGAAGTTTAGCCAGTATTTCTAATGCTGCCATAAAAACACTTAGTCCCATGTTTACTGCCAACAGCAAAAAACGTTTCTGTAGCAGGAAGATCGTCAGGGATACAGCGTATTAATAGTCTGCATGCCACTGTTGATGTTGGCGTTTGTATGTTTGTTTTTTTAAAACCAACACTTTTATTATGTAAACATGCATTAATGTATTAAAACATAAATATACTGCCACAACTAAAATACAATCCTATTCAATGACCTGTTTATAATGTTGACAGTGATGACAAACCAGCGGCTTCAGCAGCTGCTGTAATTATTATGAAAAAATGTTGTAGATACTTATTAGAAAAATTATACCGATTATGAAGCCGCTGCAATGCTTTACAGATTGTAAAAAGACTTTGGCATTTTATATATAAAAAGGTTTATTTTTCTGCTTCTGTGGCTTCTGTGATGAGTCTAAACTCAGAGTATTGGAAACGTAAACGGTACTGCCAGATGAACCTCGGTGGTGACAGTCAAAATGTTACCAGTTATTCAGGCACTGAACAGATATTTTTACTGAAACATCATTATTATTATCGTCATATTGATGAATGTTTGCTCTAGAAAATGTCAAAGTGCTTTTCGACTGATCAAAATTGCTTTGATTGCTTAGTACCGTACATAGATTCAGGTTCTCATAATGCTAATCAACACTGAAAATTTAGAGCTTTTCCTTTTCTCTCTCTTACAGTACTCAGTCTCTGCCTTTGTGTTAGCTCAATGAAGAATGAGAGCGGTTCATTGCTCACATACTGAGCTGACTTCTTGCTTAAGAGCAAGACCCCAGATTGCAAAGCCATCCTGTGTATAAGGTTTTCCGCTCAGTGGCTTTTTGAGGGGGAAAAAAAGTCAATTAAGCATCTGGGAAGATTTTTACTTTGCAAAGTCACTAAAATGGCAACAAAAACGTGGGATGAAGCATGATGGATGCTGTAGGAGAGAGAAATGTCTTACATATTTCCACATAAAAAAGCAGCTTAAAAACCTAGAAACCAAATGATATCCGAATAATCAAATGCTGAAGTGCTGCCATTCAGACAGGAAGTATTTCTGGTATTTTTATAACAGTAGCTCACATATTTTGAGGCTTTGTATGCAATTAGAAACATCCTATTGGCATATGAGTGAACACATGTGTACGCTCTGTAACTAATGACAGTTTTCAGGCTCATTAACACGAGCTGGAGGTCACAGAGGACATCGACTCCTGGTTGTGTCTATTCTTTTCTTGAACACACACACACAGTCATCACTCCCAAACTCTCTAAATTATGCAGAGCCATATGCCTTCCTCTGACACAAATCTCCAGCATCTTACCACAAAGGCCCTTCTCCTTATCAGTGGCGCACACAGGCCCTGGCTAACAGCTTGGCATGCTGAGAGGATTAAGGGTAAAGAATGTGGAAAAGAGGGACAAGCGTCCAAAATACTACACCCACAAAGAAAAATATCTTTACACGTTTCCAAACAAATACAGATATCCTTTTGTCCTTGGTGGTGTGAAATAACTTGCCCACACAACCCTCGTCTTTTAGGCACTCATGTATGCACAGTGGTATCCTTAAAGCTTTTTCAAGGACAAAGTCTCTGCTGACTTTGTCCAACCAGCTCATGTGAATTTCTCCTGGCCGAGGAGCTGAGGGAGATAAGGAGAACTGAGCGAGAGCAGGTTACAGCTCAGAGGACAGGAGCAATGAAAACTTTCACTTATGCCCAACACCTGATTCAGAGAAAGTCTACCTTGTACATCTTGGTAAATTGCTTTAAACGAATACATTTCAACTTTATGCAAATACACTAGTGTCGAATACGTAAAGTTTTGCCATTAGAAACAAAATAACTGCAAAAGGAAAAGTTATCTACTGTACCATATGAGTGACGAGGATGGACTGCATCTTAGCAGCAGCGAGGTAGCCCAGAATGTACGAAGCAAACAGAGAAGCCACCTGGAAAACAAAGCGTAGTTTACCTTAACAATTCACTCCACAAAGCTCATTAATGCATCACATACAAAAAAGTCCAAAACAACAATAACATTCCCATGATTATCTTTACATTAAAAGTTGCTAATGTCAAAACTGGATTTGAGCCTTTAGGGGAAATTTACATTCCTTCCTTCCAACAGTAATTTGTAGTATTGTATATTAATCAAGAAAGAACAGGGAAAATGGGGTGCAATAAAACAAACAAACAAACTGTAAAATCTGCACTTTACATGTAACAACTCATTTTTTAAAGCTTTTATGGCATTGCATTACATAATGTATCTTGTGAAGCACTCTAACATAATATTTTTGTTGTGCATTTCCAGAACTTAAACCCAAAGCCTGAATACATCACGGCATTTGAAAGATTACAGTTAAAATAAAGTGACTCTCTAAATACACATAGCAGTTGTTATAAATGTAACCCGAATACCACTTGGATCCTTTACTGCATTCCTCTTCCCTTTATTTCCTGTTGTCTTGTCAGTGTATTTATCACATAAAAACCCTACTTTATATTTAGCATCCATCCATCCAGCTTTCATGCGGTCTGCTCCTATTTGGACATGCTCAAACACCTCACCTAGGAGGCATTTTAGTCATTTACTTGAACCGTCTGAAGTGGCTCCTTTCAACGTGGAAGAGTAGCAACTCTACTCTGAGCTCTAGGTAAATGACACTCTTCAGCTCCAGCTTGTTTCGGCAATCTCATTCTTTCATTCAGTCCCCACAGCTAGAGGCCACAGGATGGTAGGAACGTAGGTCAACTGGAAAATCGACATCTTCGCTTTCCGTCTCGGCTCATTCGTCATCATGACAGACTGGAACAGGATCCACATTTCTGCACACACTGCACCACTCAATCTGGCAATCTCCTGCTTCAGTCTTCCCTCATTTATAAATAAGACCGCAAGATACTAGAACTTTGATTTAGACCAGCAACTCATTCCCCACCTGGAGTGGGCAAGCTACTCTTTTCTAGCTGAGAACGCCTTAGATTAGGAGGTGCTCATTCACATCCCCACTGCAAACCACTCCAGCACAAACTAAAGGGTGCTGCTAAATAAAGAACTACATCATCTGCTCAAAGCAGAGGTAAGACCACCAGCACTCACTGGGAACAAGTCTGAGTTACTGCTGATAATGTAAAACAAAACTAACTACAGTTATAGTGAGCGCTTTAACAAAAAACAAACAAGCGAACAAAAAGAAACAAAAAAAAAAACCCTGATACTTCAAAGGACCCAGCCCACAGGACACCATGATGGGACGCTGTCCAGTACCTGTTCTTGTGATGGGAATTCACACTCAAATGTAATCAGTTGGAAGGTTTTCTAAATTGGCCAATACAATTACTGATCATAATCAAATTCTGTTTGACCATTGTAATTGCTCAAGGGGGTTACTGTAGGCCTTGTAGAAAATTAACTGTGTGACTGCAAATTTTAAAACAAAACAAACCCCCCCCCCAAAAAATAGTAAAACCCAACAACTGACATCAAACTCCCTCTGTACTGATGAGTAAGCAGTGCTTGTGGGTGTATTTGGCCTTGAATTGCATTATGCATGCAGTGGCTGAGGTGAATGGGTTCAATTAGCAGCTTATAAATGTGAAACAAAGAAATAATATCTGTGAAACAACACGTCCCGCGTTAAAGTCCCTGCACAAAAGCAGCAGAGCCCTGAGGGGGCAGCAGCAGCAGCAGCGTGGGCTAAACTGTTACTAAGCACATATGCTTGCTGCAGTGACCTGTTTGTTCTGAAGTTATTCGACTCTTCTGTCTGCCAGCCCACACACCTTAATTTACTACTTCTTTATACTAACCTAAATGTGTCAATCAGTTAGAAAAATTTCAATTTAAGAATGTTTTTTGAATTTTATATGATTTGAATCTCCTGAGTTTATCCCTTTTCTTTCAGTCTTTCTGATTTTTTTTATTTCTTTGCTATGTTGCCCAGCGTCTGATTTTTTGCACCTGCGCTGCCAGTCCTCTGTTCTCTCCAAGTCTCTATTTTCTCTTTAATCTCTGTGCTCCCTTTCCCTTCCCCTCCACATTCTCTCACAATGTTTATCTTGCCCTGTTTACCTGGGTGAGCAGCACAAACTGGGCAAACTGCCAAGGCAGCATAAAGCACAAATTGGAGATGCCCAGAGCGACCATAGCTGTCCGGCTCGGGTTCCGTGTCCTGGGGAGGGAAGAGACACAGATGGAGGGAAAAGGTGGTGAGAGCAAGGGTGTGGCAGAGATAAGATGAGATGTATTAAAATGCTTGAGAAAACACAGATGTACAAACATTCACTCTCACATTAATGGTAATATAGAAACCTGATTATGGACAAAGTTACGCTAAAAAGAAAATAAAACAGAAGTACTTCTCAATTTACTGTTAACTGTGACACTAAGAGAAGTCACAGTATCAAAACAGTTTTCACACAACTTGAGCTGCCAACCACCAGCTGGGTGTTAAAATGAAAAGAAAAAACAGATGCTTCTCCATCTTTCTTTATATTTTTGAAACCGTTCAAGTGCTTGGATATAATTAGGCATGCAGAGTATATACCCAACTAATGCACCATATAATATCTGAGCCGTGTAGGTGTAGGTATTATGAACTGATTACATGAACATGTGTTCAGACATCTACTTGGTGATCGTTTTATCTGGATATTATGCTTAGCTGCTTATTGTCATATAATCTGATCAGACAATCACGTGACGGCAGTGATGATTTGGGAAGTGGAGGTATTTCAGTGATGTTTGAGTATTGCTGAGACTGTTGATTTTCTGGAATTTGCATAACATCAGTCTTTACAGTTCACCCAGAATAATGAAAAACACAAACAAAAAAACCCCCCATCCAGCAGCAGCTTAGCAGGCAGAGATTCATAGCTGATAAGAGGTCAGAGTAGACAGAACGGCTAACTGTGCTGAGCAGAAAAGCGGCTCAGAATTAGCCAACTATCCTTTAGGTAGTTGTGCTTCGATTGCACAAAACCATGCCTGGGTCAACAGAAATCTGAGGCTGTAGCGAACACAAGATCAATCGAACTGGAAATTTTAAGGCTAAAAATAAAAAACTGCAGCTAGTCTAATGATTCTCCACTCTGCCAAAGCTTGAGACAGTATCCAAAGGTCCAGGCTTTTGGTGGTGTGATAGCATTGGGAATGTTTTCTGGAACACTCTGAGCTTTAATTCCAATCACCATTTGAACGCCACAGAGCCGGAGTATTGTTACAGACCATGTACATCCATTCATAGCTACAACTTATCATCTTCAAACAGAGCAGTGAACTGTGTCAAAAATAGGGCTGTTCGATATAACGATATATATCGGATGACGATATAAAAACATCTATCGTTTCATTTCACGCTATCGTTTGTTTCGTGGTGTTGCAAAATAAACTGTTTACGGCAATATTTTTTCACTGTTTTGATGGTAACTGTAGTGGCTATATTCATTTCTTGAAGTTCTCTCTTTCTCTTATATTTAATATAACCACACTACAGACGGACAAGCACGTTTTTATGCGTTGTCGTTAGCAACAACGACGGTAAAACTATCGCGTGTCCGCTTGTTTATTTTCCGCATAAACCTTTCACAATAAAGCTCAAGATCCTGTTGAGACTTTTCAAAATAAACTGAATCACGTGAAAGAGTATGCAGAGTGTTTATGGATGAGAAAAGAGCCGTCAGGTGCTAAAAATAAACCTTAGACTCAAACGTTAGAACAAGCTTTTCCCCGCAGCACGCCGTTTCATGCATCGGTTAAAACACTCGACTCCAGGTACACGACGCCCAGCTGGAAGCACTTCACGCAAGTCGAGCTGCCCGAGATTCACAGAATTTACAGAAAATGTAAAATTTTTGTGATTTATATCGTTATTGGGACGATAAATGTCTTATATCGGGATATGAGATTTTGGTCATATCGCACAGCCCTAGTCAAAAAAGTCTCCAAGTATGGATTCCATAAACATGATACTGAGATCAGATTTTGTTGACCTCCCCAGTCACCAACTCTGAAACCAGTAAAGCCCTTTTGGGATGTGGTCATTCAGCAAACAGATTTTGTGATTCAATTATGTCAACATGGAGCAGAATCACAAAAGATGTTTCCACCATCATTTGGAGTTCATTAAGCAAAACAAGGTCCCACACCAGTATTAACATGACAGTTATTCATGATGTGCTTGGGTGTGTTATGATGCCTTTGAACATTCTGAAACACTTTACCAAATTACAACAATATGAATTTAGCAGAGCAGTGGAGACGCTGAGTGAGTTTACCGTAGGATGTATGTGAGAAGAAGCATCTGCAGGACCAGGAAAGGGTAGGCAAAACTCTCCCTCAGAGGCGGAGTCCACATCACTCGAGTGCTCTGATAAAATACACGTGGACAAGAAAAGAATCAAATTTGCTCAAACTCAAATTCACATAGCTCTGATTTTCTTTGAGAGGAAAAAAAACAAAACAGAGATACATTTTACTCCTCTGCAGCTTATAAATAAATCTCAGTTAATCCTATATTGACACAGACTGTATAGTAACACACAGCTTGTGTAGAGATTACAGACACTTAATGTAAGACATCTGGTACCGGTCTATTGGCAGGATTTCTTAAATGCAAAAACACTGTGTGAGGAGGTTTGCATGTTCTTAATCTATGCTGTAGCAGGAGAACACATTTATTGATGAATTCTAGGTCACCTCACCAGAATAAAATAAAGCAGGTGAAAGTTTAAGCCGGTGACTGCATTTAGCTGTAGTTAATCAACTTTAGGCTGATGTGTGACTGTTTCTTTGTGACTGTACTTCATGCTTTTCAGTCCTCAAATAAAGTGATTGCCTACAATCAAGTTTAGATAAATGGATCGCATCTAACTTTCTGAATGTCTACTTTTGACATTGATATGGCTCTATATACTCGCTATAGCATTAATCATGAATTGCATTGTGGCTCATAGCGCAGTAGGTGTGCAGCTCCATAACATGAGATACCATACCGAAAAAAACAAAACAAACCCCCCCCCCCCAAACTTCAAAGTAAAAATATTACAAATGAAAGACTCACAATTAAACAGAAAAAACTGAAATAAAATTAAAAGAAATAAAAATAACACCATGTAAAATGCTGAATATAGAATAAGGAGCTCTTGTATTCCAACAAATGATTTATTAATTTGATTCCTTACTCCATTTTAGTGTGAAAACAGGAACAGTAGACTAATAAGGCACAAACTGCACAGTTGCAGCTTTTATCTGTGCACGGATCCAGCGAGCAGTCTGCTTAGGTCCTGCTGTTGAGCTTGATTGAGACTTCTGCAGGAAATCTACATCGTAACCAGAAACTCCTTTTATCCCTATGCTGCAACCTTCCACACCACTCAAGTTGTTGTGGTGTGCGTCCACACGACGTGTAGTTACATTTATCGAGAGGTGAACGTCAGGTCATGCAGAAGGTTACAGCGTAAAGTTAAAATTAGTTTCAGATAATAGAGCAAGTGACGATTTAGATTTCCTGCATAAGCATAATTCACAGGTTAGTGAGCCTGTCTCTAAAGGCTAATAAACACCCACACCTCTATTTTAATGCAGTCAACACTGACCTCGGAGCGACTACCCAGCCAGACTGCCATTTTACTACTTCCTCCGAAAAAGTGGAAATTACAGATGCTGCTGTCACAAGCCGCCATAGCACTCGGGGAAAGGACAGAAATGTGTTCGAGTGTGCGCTTGACTGAAATTTGTTCTGGAGGAAACTTGAGAGAAGAAGATAGGCGGAGGGATTCAGCTTTGAGTGCGAGCCAAAAACAACTCTAAGCTCCTTTGAGGGCTGAAACGAGTCCCTATTAACCATCCTTCTCTTTTTCTGAGGGGTTTTTTTTTTTCATTTTGAGTTTTACAGATTTCAGAAGCTTACACTTCCCAAAGCTCCAACATTTGAATATCCTGATAAAGATATTAAAGGAACTGCACTTACCTCACCGTGATTGAAGAAAAAACACAATGTGGTAATAACGCCACCCAGTCGACTGCCACTAATGAGGAAAAATGAAAATGAGGTGGGATTAAAAGAAGAGCAGAAAGCAGCAGACGGATTCAGAGAAGTTATCTTCTTTCCGATAGTTCAAATCTATAAATCTGACCAAGACAGCAGACAAATGGTCTACGCCTGACAGCTTATTGGGATGGACCATTTAAAAATCATCCTCTCCTCACTAGTGTCCATGTGAGCGAGTCAGGAGAGAGTGCTGGGCTGGAGAGGTTACCTGAGGTAGGAGCCGTACATGAAGAAGATGCTCATCATCATGCCGTTCAGCAGGAACACACAGGCCACATAGAAATACGCTGGGTCACCCATTCCTGGCACCAGAGACAGGCAGAAATGCAGTTTTTATCCAGGTTAAATGCTACCAATAGAGTTCTCTGACATATAATTCAGCTTTGATAACATGATAACTGATTATTTTTCCATTGACCAGCTAATTTCCTACATTTCACAAAGACTTATTAGAAAGTAGTAACTTGAGGACATCGTTTGGACATTGGAAATTGCTGATATAATGTTTTACAAATGTAAATGATCAAGAGCTGTACGTCAATATTCAACTACTGGTATATTTGCACGTCGCATAGGATTTGAAACAAACCCATCATCTCTGTCTGCAGTTACTTTCACTTCAGTTCACCTTACTGTTGCTAATTACCTATTTTGTCATGTAGAATAGCACTTCATGCTCCTTTAGCAAGATTTTCCCTTGTGTTAAAAAGTGCAACTGGAAAATGTATGAATAATACTGCTAAGCTCTGCCATCCTACTATTCTCTCTCTGAGCAGGAGCACCACCCACATGGAGGCTGAGCAGCATGTGAGAAACATTTGCTTTAACATTTTTTCTATTAGTAATGACTTTGTACATTTATCCATCCTCTTCCATGTCACCGGGGGACTGCAGCCTATGCCAATTAAAGCAAATACATTATGCACTTTTTTTGCTTGTAGGACTGCCTTCTATCCTTCTCCATCGAACAGGTGATAATTATGCTTTAGTTAACATCACTGATGCAAACATAGAAACTTTGTTGCAAGATTTAACAACTTATTACAGTGAAATATTGATGGGAGACATACCTCCTGTGAGTTTGTGGACTGTGTGAAACATTATTGATTTTAAGTTTCTCTGACTGACTAGCACAGCCAATATGTTTGAACTTATGATTTTAACTTCACCTTTGATTTTGTCAGACCACTTTGCAGTCATCTCACACACCCTAACACCCCTTGAAAATGACTGCAATCACGAAAAGAATGTAAATCTCTGATTACAGGAGTAATCTGAAAACACACCCCCACACACCCCTACGTGTTTAATGATCTGAAAGTCACATTTGCAGGCATTTTGTGTGCAAACTGGGTCACTGCAGATTGAATAAGTTAGGTCATGCAAAAATAACCCATGAAACAGGTAGGATTTCTGTGCTCCGCTTCTGCAATGAAGACACCACAGACTAATCACTTCCTGCAGACTCTGTGTTGCAAAAATTTTCAGTTCTGCTACTTAAAAAATTATAGTAAAAAAAAATCCATATGTAATCGTATGTGTGAGATAAATATATGCTACTCAGGTCTTTTATATGTCCTCTCTGTGTCTGCATGGGTTCCTCCCGTAGTAAAGGATCATGAATATTAGGTTAAATGATAATTCTAACTTGACTGTAGGTATGAATCAGAGTATGAATGGTTGTCTGTCGGTCTCTAATTTAGCCCTGTGATAGACCCGGGACCTGTCCAGAGTTTATGCCACCTCATTCCCAGTGTTGGCTGGAATAGCCTCCAACACCTCCATGACCCCGAACTGGATAAGCAGTTAAGCAAACCGATGGGTGACAAAAATAACAGTTTTTATACAGCATCTGAAATGTCATATCTGAATGACACCAAAGTTGAAGCATAACAACAGGAAGTACATTAAACAACATGTCACGATCAGCCCTATCAAAAAAAATAAATAAAAATGTGGGGTTAAAAAAAAAACCCCAAACAAAAACCATCAAACTGGAATAATACATTATTACTGCACATCCCACTGCAGGTTCCACAAGTCATTCTCTAAATTCTGATGGTGAGATTAAAGTTTGAAACTTTAGTGACAGCAAATAGGTTTTGTTCACTTCACTGCTCAGTTAAATGACATCTCGCTGCTATATTCTTGGCACGATCTCCTCTCAATGATTCCAGCATAATAAGAAGGTACACAGAACAGACCTACACGGCAACAATGACTAAGAGATTGAAGATGCATTGACATCGCTAAGAGCTGCATCGCATCATCTCCGTGATGTGACGGTAAATCACTGGACAAACAGAAAACGGATCTAGCTCCAAAACCGCTTGTTCCGTTCTACTGTGTAATTTTAAACCACACAAAAATAACATACTGGCTGACAGTTACAGGAAATGCAATGCAGCTTGCATCAGGTTTATGTAAACACTGTGAAAACAGCCTGTGTACATCAGCCGTGGGGTGCCACATTCACTAATGAGACCGACAGAAACATGGAGACTGCAGCTTCACAAAGGAACGCTGACAGCAGCTTTTGCTTGTTTTCGCTTAGCAGACTTAATTTCCAGGAAATGTTACTGTGAGCCAACTTTTAAAAAAAAAAAAAAAAAAAAAAAAAAAAAAAAAAAAAAGATGTGGAAAAGGTTAAAAACATTTTTCCCCCTCAAGGCTAGAAGAAAAAAAATCAATGAGTATATTTCTCTTCTTTCGCATTAAATGTTATTCAGTAACTGTTAGTTTTGCAGAGGATGCCTGGATGCCTTAAGCTTAACTACTACTACTTCTTCTTTTTTTTTTTTAAACCACGGGCCTAAAAATTATCTCTTAGCCGACTGCCGGACTGTTAAATGAGGTCAAGAATTACTTACCAAACTTCTCAAATCTGCGATATTTATACTTCTCTGCATCTTAACTGACAGCTAAACCGTTTATTCAAGCAAAGGGGCTACAACTGTCACCAAGTAGGATGAAATACGGGAACGGATTAGATTTGACCCGTGTGTGTGTGTGTGTGTCTAAATGCACACAACTGAGCACGTTTCTAGTTAAGACTTACATGCCATGGCAACAGTGTTTACCTTCACAGCTGTCCACAGGAGTGAGTCCCTCTCCTCTGTTGATGGACCAGCACATTTTTGTGGGAATCCCAAAGTAACCCATTACACCTGTGTACATCCGGTACCAGCTGGCCAGGACCACCTGGGGAGAACAGACAGGATGTAAAAATCCTGTTTAAACATCAAATTTTAAATTACTTGTTTTATCCCTTTTATTTCTGAGGAGTAGACACTAGCATGATTTGGATTCTGGTCTATGAGTTTGCAAAAAGGGATCATAAATAAATAAAGACTAATGTGATACATATATACATATATTATTTTATTTTTTTTAAGTCATCTATCCATCAATCCATTCGCTTCCGCTTCTCCTTTTCAGGGTCGCGGGGGGCACTGGAGCCTATTCCAGCTGTCATAGGGCGAGAGGCGGGGTACACCCTGGACAGGTCGCCAGTCTGTCGCAGGGCTAACACACAGGGACAGACAACCATTCGCGCTCACATTCACTCACACATTCACACTTAATGGCAATTTGGATTATCCAATTAACCTATCCCCACAAGCTGCATGTCTTTGGACAGTGGGAGGAAGCCGGAGTACCCGGAGGGAACCCACACAAACATGGGGAGAACACGCAAACTCCACACAGAAAGACCCCGGCCTGATGTTGGAATTGAACTCAGGACCTTCTTGCTGTGCGGCAACAGTGCTAACCACCGTGTCACCGTGCTACCTTTAAAGTCATCTAACTGTAATAAAAAATAAATAAAATAAAATAAAAAATAAATTAAAAAAAACACACACACAAAAGAATCAATGTTAAGCTGTGCAATCTATAACAACCTAATTCAACTTTCAATTTGGCTTCTCAGAAAATTACAAAAAGACAATGGAGATAAAACGCTGCTGTTTCAGTCTGTTCTGCAACAATTCTCTACGTTGGCTTTCCAGCACATCTCTTTCCTTTATTTTGTTCCATCAGAGTAGCCTGATTACTCACTCACTCATCTTCAGTGAGCATATTTCTTAACCATCATGTAAAGAAAGAATTAAACAAATCTGGTTTCTCCATCCAGCAAGCTTCATTGTTAGGAAAGCGCATTAATCTGGCATGTATACCACTTCTAACTGCACTTATTGCTATTTGCTACATGACAAAGGACTGCAGACTGCAGGGAGAAAAAAGTAGAGGGGATGCATGAAAGGAGAAAATGCATGGAGCAAAATTCAACATAAGCAATCATCTAAAAGACTAAAAAAGTTTAATCACCAAACATCTATTTGCTAAATTCATAAACTGTTGTTATGTAATTCTCCAATTACTTGCATTACCCGATTTGGCTCATTAAATGCATCCAGATTCTTGTACTGCCAACACTTCAAACAATATAATACTAATGAAGTGGGTTTTTTTTATCTCAAAGCTTAAAAACATCTTCACGATAAAATTACCTCACCCTTCAAACTTTTTATTCCTTCTGTAAAAGAGTTTTGTTTGTACTAAGGGATTCACTGTATACATCCCACGAGAATGAAGATTTGATCTTCTTCTGAAAATATTTCAAAGTTATGAATAATTTTAGTCTGAGAGCAACAAATGAAATATGTGCACGGTAATTTGCCAAAAATCAATATTACCTCTGGATAGAGGTTGAATCTCTTCAGTGTGTTAATAACCAGCGGATGCTCTGTCAGCCGATCGTTCATGACCATGTGAAGGCCGTCCAGGAAAGAAGGAGCCTCAATAATTGTCTTGTAGTAGGAATAGTACAGACCCTGGTATCAAAAAGAACATTACATACAGAAGATTACAGAAAGAAAAAGGCAGCAGACGGATACTAAATATAACTCCAGCACTACAACTCCGACAGAAGAAACTGGAATGAGTTACACGGGCTCAGCAGATGGCCATGGCTCGCAGCCCATTTGGTAGCACGCAGCAGGGGGAAGGCAAGACAAGTATTCTGTTTTCATCTGACAAAGTTTTCACCTTGAGCGTCAGTTAAACATCAGCAGCTTTTACACAGAGTGATGGTGATCTAAAAAGCAGCAGTGCTTATAGACACAAATGTTAATTTTGCTTGTGTGCAGCTCTTCATCGAGTGTTCGACGTGGAAAGTGACAGATGAGTAACAACTGTAAAGTCCAACATGGTAAGTATTACTGATTTGATTTTCTCTGAATGGACAGTCATAGTGAAACTAGCTTAACTACAGTCATCAGTCAACAGTAAGTCTTCTTCTAAATATTTATTCTCTCCCCCTTTCACTTCAGCTGACGTCTGTGCAATGGTTATTGTTGACCAACTCTGGCTGGTGTGCTCAAGGGTGAAAGTTCACTTTAACCAACTTTTCATTGGAAATCAGTTTGCATGTCAAATAGAAGCACTGTTTTTGGGAAATTATTACAACATCATCATCTTAACTATGCAGGAATGTTTTGTGATGAGCTTGCCTCGCATTTCTTTATTAACCAGGCTGATCTCATTTTGATGGCCTTTTTAAAAAAAATGCAAACTGCTGTCATATTTTGTTTTACAGAAGGCTAACGTGACAGTGCTTATATGCTCACTGGGGCAGCAGCAAATATTTATTGCCAATAACAATCTACTCATTAAGTTTTAATGACTTCAGCAATGATGAGGTCTATAAAATGTGATGAAAATGTTAAAAAAAAAGTGCATTTTGTGAAAGCCAAAGAGTTGTCTCTGCCTGATTCGTGTGACTAACTTCAACACATTTAAATTTTAAGCACAACTACTAAAACCCCCCCCCCAAAAAAAAAATTCCCTTACAAATGATGCATACACTTCTTATGTTGGAAATCCTATTTTAATGCAATACCATCAAGGCAACATCTAATCTGTCTCAATGTCATTTGGTAGCATGACAAAATAAAATATATCATGACATAGTTAGAAAGAATTAGAGGCATAACGTCTCTGAGAAAGTTGTTGGCCCACATCCTACCACAACAGCTCAAACGTGAAGGTTTTCTTAATGAAGATGGTGGAGACCACTTTCTAACACGTGGGTGTAAAATCCACCACATATGTTCATATGGGCTGGTATCTGTTATTAACACAAATCTATAATTCACATCCTCTCATAGCTGAACACAAATCATGGAGCCCTCATGCCTGATGGATGCACTGTCCTCTTGGAAGAGGAGACCACAAAATCATCATCCTGTTTCAGTTACTTCCTTTAGGGTTACCCTATCCTTATCATCCTCCAACCAACCCTCTACATTCCCTCCTTTGATACATCCATGAATTATCTCTGTGCCATTCTTCCTTTCCTCCTTCCTGGCAGCTCCATATTTAACATCCTTTCTCCAGTATATCCACCATCCCTCCTCAGCACATGTCGAAATCTCAACCAAAACAAAGTTAACAAAGTTAAATATATAAAAATAATCACTCACAATGGCTCTTTATTGATTTTCAGTGACCATGTAATCAAATCAGACAAGTCAGCTAAAAAAAAGAAAAAGAAAAAAGAAAAAGAGAAAGCCACCACAATATCTATCTAAGTACAGCAGAACCACCAAGCCCTCTTAGTGTAGGTCTGATGAGGTCTGTTTTTGTTTGGACATCATTTACGTGTATCTTCAGCTACAAGGACAATAAACTGCTCTGCAACAGGTGTAGTGCATGGCTGAAATATAGCCAAATACATTAACATCATGGGATTGAATTTGGGGTTATTGAAAGACCCAAAATAGTTTTCCAATCTGCTCAAACAGGCCCCCCCCCCGTTAAATGAGCAAACGCAAGGAACAATTGCTGCTATTTTGATGGTAAAGGGAATCCATGCTAAATATGAATATGATTTAGACCTTGATCATCTTGTTTTGTAGCAAAGGATTTCACACTTTTTACTGTCTTATGTCAAAATAAAGGTAGACGATGGTAAACAACGGCCATACAAAAACTGTGCCCTTCAAGATTCATGATGACAATATTTATCAAAGATTTGTGCATCCTGCTGTTGCCTTACAAAAAAGAAAAAGAAATTACCATTTCTGTTCGAAAAGCCATTTCCTTCTCCAGGTTAGACAGGTGTGAAAAGTGCCTGTCATTCTCAAAGAGCTGTGTGAGATGATACCTAATTGCAGGGGGAGAAATATGTGTGAAGTAAGAGCAAGTAAACGCAACAGTAGTTAGTGAACGATAACTTGGTAAAGCCGATAAAAGCGCAGCTTACCAGTGCAGATATCCAGTCAGAGCAGCTGTGAACAGAAAGAATTAACTTTAACTACTGCAGAAAAAAAAGCTACTTCATCACTGAGAAAGGAGGCTAGATTTGCAAAGCCACAACCCGCTGGAGAGAGGAGAGATGACTTTGAGTGATACGGGGGTTATAACTATTGTGCATTTAGAGGAGAACACCAAGCTTGAAGTTTGCCAGAAAACCTGTTAACACGTGTGGAGCTGATGTGGCATATAGGCGGAAGAAATACGGGACACTTTCATTTGATTTTAACGGACAGCAACAGCAGGTAACTACCGCTAGAGAGGTACCGTTAGGGTGAGCTAACGTTAGCCAAGTGATCGGCAGCGGAGATAACTTAATTTAGCGGAGCTGCTAATGCTGCTAGTGTTAGCACTCGTTAGCTTGTGGTTCTGCAAGAAGCTAACGAGCTAGTGGTTCTGAACTTACCGAGGAGAAGAGTGATTCCCAGCTTGGCGGCTGCAGACGGAGTTAGCCCCAGCTTGTGTCTGATGCCCGAAAGCCCGTTTGAATGCGTGCTGTTGAAAACCTTGCCCTCCCTGCCTGGCCGCCTAACGTTACTTTTGCCAGGTGGCGAAACAAGCGGGCTCCTGTCGCGGTCAGTCTGGGTCGCCGGACTCTTCCCGGTTTGCTTTTTGGTTTTAGCCACCATGATTTCCAAAAAGAGACGAGTTAAACCGAGCGGACAGCCGCTGAAGAACCCAAGGGGTGTGAGCTGCGCAGCCCCAACAGACGCTCGTATCTGGTCCTCGAATCTGCCCCTTTACTACCTGAGTGATGCTTTGACTGGTTCCTGCCTGAAATCTTGTGAAACGGTGCCCCCTGGTGGCTGTTGGGCACCACTGCAATGAGTTTGGGATCGTAACCATGGCAACACCAACCGCGAGCGTATTTTTCTTTTTGTAGTGTCAGATGCGAAATAAATAAAATAAAAATAAATAAATAGTAATACATCTAAAATGTGCAACTGCCCGATGCGACAGACAGCAGGAGCTAATCCAGGGGCCTCGCTTGTTGAAAGGTCAATTAAAAAAACAAAAAAACCCTAAAAAGACTGCAAATCTGAAATGACCCCAAATAGACACAAAAAAGGCATAACCGACAAATCTCAATGTAAAACAATCACACGCTGTAAAAAGATTACAAAGATGTCAAACATGAAACAGCCATAAACAGAAAAAAACGAGTTATATCTCTGCATACCTCTGCAAAGTATCATTTATGATATGTAACATATAAGGAATTCTTATTTTTATTATATTTTTTTGAGCAAGAAAGATTGCTTTTACTTTTTAAAAAAATTATTTTTATTGCTTTCCAAAAAGCTCCAGCAGCATATAACGGGCCTCCATCACCTTATCAGGCACTTTCAGACTGTCCAAATTGCTTCCTCTGGTTTAGATCCAGTGCTCGTTAGAAGTATGCCAAGTTTCTTTCAGAAAGGGATGTGTTCTCTACAAGTGCCACTTTAGCTGCCTTGGCAGCGATGTTTCCACTGCAGACAAATAAAGCTGAAGCAGCAGAAAGAAGATTTCTATTAACGTGAGATACTGAGCTGTAAGCTGACATGATTCACTACCAGAGCAGTAGAGGAGCAGAGCAGCGTCTAAATGAAATCCTGTCAGATATGCAGCCAAAGGTACAGCATCACACACACATAAAAATGATTGATAAATTCAACTCCTCTGATTGATTTTATGATATCGCCAGCTGTTTTCTTCTGAGTGTATGACAGCATTCTGGTATTAGTTAATTAGGACTCTCTGTTTCTTCTGAACAAATGAAGGAGATAGGCTTTGTAGACTGATAACTGGCACTATAATGGTTACAAGCAAAATGAAAATCCGCTGAGTTACAAGACCTGTTATACTGATACTCATTCCATCAAAAACAGGAGATGATGAAAAATTGTGTGAACTTTTGTTGTTTCATTTATCAGTGCTGATGATGACACAACAATAAAAGATACAGACTAGCAACTGGGTTACAAGGGATTAAAGTTCCACTCTTCCACATAGAAATGGGAATTGAAACCCAGTTCTTGTAGAGAGTCGGTTCCCACTTGTCCAGTTCCTTGGAATTGTTGGTCTGTGCCAGTTGATTCCACTTATCGGTTCTTGCACTCCTACACACAGCTGCTTTTGGTTGGTATGTTGGAGGAGGAAAACAGTGACACAGGATATGGACATTACTTTTATTTTTATTGCACAAAGGATGAGAGCATGATAGTAAAGTGGAGCGTGTATCCCGGACAGATACAGCTGCATTATGCTGCTACCTGCACAGTCGGCATGCTAACACTAAACCAGCCAAGAACTCTGAGTGACGTTAAAGCTGAATGAATGCTGACCCCAGCCCAGTATCCAGACCCTGAACTTCAACAGGTAATAAACTGATGAGTAGTCAGGCTGCAGCCTTTGTTTCTACCTATTTGTGTTTCTTAATTAGAATCACCATGGCGATCAGTTTGCTTGTTTGTGCTGTTGACTTTGTGTTGTACTAATAGTAAGATCATATGTGTCCTCATTAGCATAGCGATTTGTGTTGGTGTATAGGACTATAGCCTATATGTTTATATTGTTAAATGGCAATTATGAGATAAAACAGGTCATTTTACAGAGTAACATGAAAGCAATGTAACGAGTCGTATAATGAATTAGTTTTTCATCACACCTGCGAGCATCTCTTAGTCATCTACTGATCTACTGAAGCGAACATAAAAACCATGGAACACGAAGGCAGTAACACTACATGAATAAAAATGTATACGATTCAAAGTTACAGCTCGGTTTCCAAGACAAACAGAGAGATAACTAGCTTAGCTATGCAGTGGCTGTGATGCCAGGCTGAAATTTATTTTTAAAAGTTTCCATATCACATGATACTTTTGATTCATCAGTCAATTAAGTTCATTTTGAAATGTTTTTCATGTGTTTGTAAGCAATGAAGCACAAGGAGTTAACAAATGGACAATGTAGGTTCAAACCTGGACTCCTCCAGACTAATGAAAAGTGAATGAAAAAAAAAAATATGGCGAGATACACAAATAAACACAACATTCAAAAGAATTTGAAACTATTGCAGGAAATGAACTAAAAACTGTACATAAAACCTTAAAAATATGCGAAATACATTCGCAACCTGTATCAATATGAGGGTTGGTCCCAATCAATTTATTTACATTCATTTATTTTATCTTAGAAACAAAATCAATACTGGTAATGAATGTGAGCTTTCAATGTAATCATGAACTCATGAACATGATTGAGTCAGAGACTGAAAAACAACAAAGTTCAAGCAACTGAGTATGTCTGTTTTGAGTTAAACCCGTGCATGGGTAATGAAAAAAGTCATCACTAACTCATAGTTTAAAATATAAAAAAATAAGAAGAATTAGCATATAAAGGAAGCTGGACAGAAAGTATTATTGACCACAAAAAGGTCATGTCAGAAAATTGCTAGCACCATCAGGAATAACCAGCAGATGTCACTAAATGACAATAATACATGTGTACCATTAACCCACATTTCATCTTCACATCGTTATCATCATCATCACAACCAGCATTTTCATCAGAGCATTAATAAAAAAAAAAGAAAGAAAGATAAAAGTAAGGCAGGTAATTACTCCAAGAAGAAAAACAGACACTTTGATGCTGATGTGTTTGAGTTGAGATGTATTTCACTGATGAAGGCAGAGACAATAACATCAGCAAAGATGATTTCATCTCATCTGTTTTTCTTCGGGAAGGACTGACAAGGAGAAAGAAGGAGAAATGGGAGTGACATCATTACATTTCTCTCATTCGATTCCCGCTCAGGGTGGGTTATGGTGTGGTGGGCTTGTATGTGGGTGCAGGGAGATATAATCATAAGAGATGATGAACACATAAGGCAGTGTGTTTGTTTCCAGTGTCTGGGCACAGCTCTTTGAGATGTGATGAGTTTCAGAGTTTCAGACAAAGAGCGATTCATAAGACCCTTATGAAAAGGACACTGAGGGAACAGTTTACCCTGCCCGGGATAGGGTTACCGGGGCCCCGCCCTGGAGCCAGGCCCGGGGAGGGTGCCCGAGGGCGAGCGTCTGGTGGCCGGGCCTTAGTCCATGGGGTCCGGCCGGGCACAGCCCGAAGAGGAGACATGGGCCCATCCTCCCGCAGGCCCACCACCCGCAGGAGGCGCCATAGGGGTCGGGTGCATTGTGTGCCGGGTGGCGGCCAGGAGCGGAGGCCCTGGCGGACTGACCCCCGGCTGCCAAGACTGGCAATAGGGACATGTAATGTCACCTCTCTGGTGGGGAAGGAGCCTGAGTTAGTGCGTGAGGTTGAGAGGTACCGGCTAGATATAGTCGGGCTCACCTCTACACATGGCTTGGGCTCTGGAACCAGTCTCCTGGAGAGGGGCTGGACTCTGTCTCAGTCTGGAGTTGCCCCTGGTGAGAGGCGGCGGGCTGGGGTGGGTATCCTAATATCCCCTCGGCTTGCTGCCGGTACGTTGGGGTTTTTCCCGGTGGACGAGAGGGTTTGTTCCCTGGGTCGGGGAACGGGTCCTGACTGTCATCTGCGCTTATGCGCCGAGTGGCAGTTCAGAGTACCCAGCCTTCTTAGAGTCCCTGGGGGGGGGGGTGCTGGAGGGTGCTCCACCTGGAGACTCTGTTGTCCTGCTGGGAGACTTCAATGCTCACGTGGGTAACGACAGCGAGACCTGGAGGGGTGTGATTGGGAGGAACGGCCTCCCTGATCTGAATCCGAGCGGTGCTCTGTTATTGGACTTCTGTGTTAACCACAGTTTGGCCATAACGAACACCCTGTTCGAACATAAGAGTGTCCATAAGTGCACGTGGCACCAGGACGCTCTAGGCCGTAGGTCGATGATCGATTTTGTAATCGTATCAGCAGACCTGCGACCATATGTTCTGGACACTCGGGTAAAGAGAGGGGCTGAGCTGTCAACTGATCACCACCTGGTGGTGAGTTGAATCAGGTGGCGGGGGAGGGCGCTGGACAGACCTGGTGCACCTAAACGCGTAGTGAGGGTGTGCTGGGAACGTCTAGCAGAGGCCCCAGTCCGCGAGATCTTCAACGCACACCTCCGGCAGAGCTTCGACAGCATTCCGAGGGAGACTGGGGACATTGAGTCCGAATGGACCATGTTCAGAGTCTCCATTGCCGAAGCTGCTGCATTGAGCTGCGGCCGCAAGGTGGTGGGTGCCTGCCGTGGTGGTAATCCCCGAACCAAATGGTGGACACCAGAGGTGAAGGGAGCCACCAGGCTGAAGAAGGAGTCCTATCGGGCTTGGTTAGCCTGTGGGACTCCGGAGGCAGCCGACAGGTATCGACAGGCCAAGCGGAATGCGGCTCGGGCAGTGGCTGAAGCAAAAACTCGGGTGTGGGAGGAGTTCGGAGAGGCCATGGAAAAAGACTTTCGGACTGCCTCGAAGAGATTCTGGCAAACCGTCAGACGTCTCAGGAGGGGAAAGCGGTGCTCTACCTGCACTGTGTATAGTGCTGGCGGAGCGCTGCTGACGTCGACTGAGAAAATTGTCAGGCGGTGGAAGGAATACTTCGAGGACCTCCTTAATCCCACTGACACGTCTTCCGAGGAGGAAGCAGAGTCTGGGGATGAGGGGAATGACCCGCCAATTTCCGGGGG